ATTATTAAACATAACCAGGGAAATGAGGAATCCTTGTGAGGAAGTGACTTTGCTTGTTCAATTTTTGTACCTCCCAGAAAAAGAAATGCTAGGTTTCCTCTGAAATACACTCTAAATTCTAAGCAAAGGGATGCAGAAAAGTTCAGGGCAAGGAATTATAATTTCATAGCCAGGGATTAAAAGAAAAAAGACCAGGAGCTTCTTTAAAGTGAAATTCTGATAAAATAGTTGAAAATTATCTTATTTAGGAAGAAAAGGAGAGTCATCTGAAGAAACCAATAGGATTGAACACATTGCTTTTTGGTAAGCTTAGAGTTTTAGAAAGAAGAAGGTGAGAGGTGACATAACTAAGACTAAATATAGGGGTGGCCCAGAACTGCAAGAAGGGTGTCCTGAAGGTTAATGCCCAGCATAAGCTAAGGTCTGAAGAAAAGACTGAGGACGGACAATAAAATGCTCTAGAGCAGTGGTTCTCAACCTTTCTAACGCCGTGACCCTTTAATACAGTTCCTCATGTTGTGGTGACCCCCAATTTCATTGTTAAAAATTGAACATAATTAAAGCATAGTGATTAATCACAAAAACAATATGTAATTATATATGTGTTTTCCGATGGTCTTAGGCGACCCCTGTGAAAGGGTCGTTCGACCCCCAAAGGGGTCGCGACCCACAGGTTGAGAACCGCTGCTCTAGAGGAACGTGCAGAGTGAGAACAGGAAGGGAATGGCAGTTAGTTACATGAAAGTAGTTGGTGGCCAGAAAGCCTATTTTTCTTCTAATGTTTCCTAGCAGGGGATTGCTAACCTAGAAAGGGTTAAATTAAAAAAACAACAACAGCAGGCTACCAGATGTAGGCCAACAAAAAACGCAAGGCCAAGAGCGTTAAGCAGGTAGTAATAAAGCATGTCATTGCTTTAAATGTCTCTAACTATCCACTTGCAGACAAATGGAAAGGATTTAGAATTAGTTGAGATGACAGAATCCTGGCATCTCCAGGATCTGGGAGAACAGGAAGGGTGTGAAATGAAGCTGTCGAGTGATGTATTAGGCTATAACAAATACCACCAATTATTGGCTTAAAACAACACAAATTTATTATCTTTTAAAAAATATATATTTTATTGATTTTTTACAGAGAGGAAGGGAGAAGGATAGAGAGTTAGAAACATCAATGAGAGAGAAACATCAATGAGCTGCCTCCTGCACACCCCCTCCTGGGGATGTGCCCGTAACCAAGGTACATGCCCTTGACTGGAATCGAACCTGGGACCTTTCAGTTTGCAGGCCAATGCTCTATCCACTGAGCCAAACCAGTTAGAGCACAAATTTATTATCTTAACCATTCCATAGGTTGAAGTCTTCACTGGGTCTCACTGGGCCAAAATTAAGGTGTCAGCAGTGCCTAGAGGAGAATCCATTTTCTTGCCTTTTGTAGCTTTTAGAGGCTGCCCACATTCCTTAGCTCATGGACCTGTTTCATCTTCAAATCCAGCAGTAGCTGGTCAAGTCTTTCTTCACATCACATCATATCACATCACATCACATCACATCACATCACATCACATCACATCACATCACATCACATCACATCACATCACATCACATCACATCACATCACATCACATCACATCACATCACATCACATCACATCACATCACATCACATCACATCACATCACATCACATCACATCACATCACATCACATCACATCACATCACATCACATCACATCACATCACATCACATCACATCACATCACATCACATCACATCACATCACATCACATCACATCACATCACATCACATCACATCACATCACATCACATCACATCACATCACATCACATCACATCACATCACATCACATCACATCACATCACATCACATCACATCACATCACATCACATCACATCACATCACATCACATCACATCACATCACATCACATCACATCACATCACATCACATCACATCACATCACATCACATCACATCACATCACATCACATCACATCACATCACATCACATCACATCACATCACATCACATCACATCACATCACATCACATCACATCACATCACATCACATCACATCACATCACATCACATCACATCACATCACATCACATCACATCACATCACATCACATCACATCACATCACATCACATCACATCACATCACATCACATCACATCACATCACATCACATCACATCACATCACATCACATCACATCACATCACATCACATCACATCACATCACATCACATCACATCACATCACATCACATCACATCACATCACATCACATCACATCACATCACATCACATCACATCACATCACATCACATCACATCACATCACATCACATCACATCACATCACATCACATCACATCACATCACATCACATCACATCACATCACATCATCACATCACATCACATCAATCACATCACATCACATCACATCACATCACTCTGACACTGATTCTTCTGCCTCCCAGGGCCTTGTTCTGCCCACCACAAGGAAGAGGAAGAAGTGGATTCGGAGCATTCTGCACTGACTCTTTGAAGTTGATTCCTGCCCAAATTCTAGGTTCACTTGATTAGCAAAGTTTGAGAGGAAAGGAGAATCTCCAGTAACCTGTATAGATTCACTAAAAACAAGCCATGCTAAGCTAACCTTGTGTTTTGCTCAATTTAATTTTTTATTAAAATGCAATATACACCAAGAAACAGTACACATTATAAGTGTACAGCTTGATGAATTTTCACAAATTGAACACACATGTAACTGGCATCTATGTCATGAAAGCAGCCCTCGAGCCCTTCCTGTGTTCCTCCTAGTCACTCGCCTCTGTCCCACCAAACACACACAAAGGGAAATAAGTCACTGTTCTGACTTCTAGTAGTATTAGTTTTGCCTGTTTTTATGTAAATGGATATAAAGGGTATGTACTCTTTTGTGTCTGGCTTGTTCACTTAATATGTTTGTGAAATTCATATATATATATGGCAGTGGGCAGATTATTCCACATAATGCAGACATTGACCCACACGCTCAGGTGTCTACCGCCCCATGACCCCCAGAAACATAGAAAGACACTTGGCTGAGTGGGGTCAGGGTCCGAGGGCCCAAAAGCCTCCATCCTGGGACAAGGCAGCAGTGTGGGCCCAGGTGGTGGTGTGGGCCCAGGTGGTGGTGGTGTGGGCCCAGGTGGTGGTGTGGGCCCAGGTGGTGGTGTGGGCCCAGGTGGTGGGGCAGTGTCCTTTCTCCCAGAGAAAAGTGCAGAGACGGGGCCAAGACCCCAGGCAGGAGGCCACACTCTCATAGCGATTGGCAGCAGGCAGGCCAGGGGCAGGGTCCTTCCGGATCCCTCCTGAGGGCCTGGCCCACCAGACTGTTCACAGCTCTCAGGAGGTGCGGGAGCCGAGGTGCCACTGGCTGGCTGGGCATGGTTCATCCATAGTTTTGTGTGTGTAGTAGGTGGATTATTCTCACTGCTGTTTAGTATTCCATTGTATTGATTTAGCCACTCTACTGTTGATAGGCATTTGGTTTGTTTCTAATTTTTGACTGTTACAATGATATAGTTATGAACAATCTAGTATAAATATGTACTAATTTTATTTGAATCATTTGATAGCATTGTTAGATTGTTAGAACAGAGACATGTGTACACAGTTTTCAGAGAGGTTCTTGGCAAACTCTCATGATATTCTTGTTGACCAGCTGGAAAAAGGTGGACTGGGAATAGTTTGGGGGATTCCTGATTGATGTTCTAGAATAATACCAGCATACAGGAGGGTCTATAGCAATAGATTACAGGGCTCTGCCTATACTGGTCAACATTTTTATCCAGTGAAGTTAGTTCAAATGCCTTCAATTTTGTATTTGAAATGGAAGGCATTTGAACTGACAAAATTAAGGTAGATGGGACAGATGCCTAGAAATTCACAAAGGAATGTGAAGTGCCATATTTGGGGATTTTTAAAAAATTCATTTTTATAGGCCCATTAAAGGAGAGGGAAAAGTTCATCAGTTTCAGGTGGGGAAAAAGAGAGTTGTAGTTGACAGTGAATTCAAACTGCAACTCCACAGCCTGTAAATTGTCTGCAGTTTCCTGTGTGTATCTCACGTTTTCAGGGAGACACTGACAAAGTGAAGTGTTGTAAATGCAGAGGAGAGAACTGGGATGGTGAATAGTCTGGAAGCCATATTTGTCACACAAGAGATTGAAGAAACTGGATTATTAGCCTGAAAGAGGGAAGACTCAAGGAGGACAGGATGTAAACATTTAATGATAAGAAGGGCCCTTATGTGGAAGAGGCTTTAGCTTGATTCAGTGTAGCTCCAGAGGAGAGGCCTAGAACTACTGAGTAGAAATGGCGAGAAATGTGTTTTCGGGTTAGTGGAAAGAAGAGCTATTGATCTCTTTAAAAAAAATGGAATGAGCCTGGCTGGTGTGGCTCAGTGGTTGAGTGTTGATCCATGAACCTGGAGATTGCCAGTTCAATTCCTAGTCAGGCACATGCCCAGGTTGCGGGCTTGATCTCCAGTAGGAGGCAGCTGATGGATGATTCTCTCTCATCATTGATGTTTCTATCTCTCTCCCTTTCTCTGAAATCAATAAAAACATAATTTAAAAAAATGGAATGATTTTTCTAGTAAAGTATTGAGATTTTATAGTCCCTGGGCATTTGAAACATAAAATGGACTCAATAGTGGCCTAAATTTTGTGTGTTACATTGTATGTATTTAAAACTCGGTGCTGGGAGAATTATAGGTTTATCATTCTTTTTCAGGGACTTCTTAGTTTTGGCATCTACACTAAATCTGGGTACCTGATCCTGAGTGGGCCTGCAAGCTCCGTTCTGTTCTGGATCTACTTAGGCGGTTCTTTCCTGGCTTTTAGTTCCAGAGTTGATACTGGGCCTTAGTGCCTGAACTACTCCAGGAGCCCATGGAGACTGGGTTTAGATGCTTATAGTAGTGACTTCTTCACAGCTTCTCCTTTATCCAAAGCAGGTGTCAAAGCAGGAATGGAGCTGCACCTGAGTCAAGGGTCCAACGTGATTCAGCCCGACTTCCTGTGGACTTGGGTCAGTGTTGGGTGGAGACTGAATTGCACCGAGATAGGAGGGTAGGGCATCTCTGTCCTTGAGATTAACTTGAAGCTGCCTCTAAATTCTAACTCCATGGTCCGCCCCCCACTTTCCCTGCTTCTGAAGCAGGAGGTGGGGCCTCCGGTCAGCTGTATCCGCTGACTGGGGACAAAGAGCCCAGTCAGCACTGCTGCTTGCCATACCATTTCCTGTTTCATGGCCAAGAGGCCCTGGAGGAAGCTGGGTTTGGGAAAAAGTGCTTTCTTTAGGCAGTTCCTCTGCTTTCTGATTTCTTTCCATAGGATTCCCTTCTCCATTAAAACCAAGCGCCTGTGCTCAATACAGAGATCAGATCATGGCAATATGGTGGGA